AACCACATCAACAACAACCTCAGCTACATCAACAACCACAACAACCACAACAACAACAACCACCACAACAACAACCACCGCATCAAACACTGCTTGGCCCGCCAGCACGACCGCGTGTTCCTCGGAGTGGACTCGACCTGCTGGCTCTGTTACTCCGAGGATCTGGAACAGTTCCCTGGAACAGTTCCCTAGAACAGTTCCCTGGAACAGTTCCCTAGAACAGTTCCCTGGAACAGTTCCCTGGAACAGTTCCACGGAACAATTCCCTGGAACAGTTCCTTGGAACAGTTCCCTGGAACAGTTCCCTGGAACAATTCCCTGGAACAGTTCCCTGGAACAGTTCCCTGGAACAGTTCCCTGGAACAGTTCCATGGAACAATTCCCTGGAACAATTCCCTGAAACAGTTCCCCCGACTCTCGACAAGGGCACTCCATTTACACGGCGATCAACAAATCAACACTCGCTCACACACACACACAAAGATGCCCCCGTGTAGCCTTTAACAGACTGTAGGGGCAAGTGCTGTTAGCGAGCGGCACCTCTGAATACCGGCACGGTGGCACACGAGGGGATGGGTGGCCAGCATCCACGTCCGGCCGCCTTTGTCTCCCCAGTGGCGATGTTTACTACACACCGTACCAGGTACTCGTTTGAGGCTGGGTCGACCTAGGGGAGGTCCAGCACCGGTTCAGATAGCCGTCACTGGGTGTTGGTGGTCGTGAGCGGGGATCGAACTCGGGACACACCGGGTTCGTAGCGCAGCGTAGCTCTGACCGCTACATTACCGCTCCCCACACTCGCATCCAAACAAAAAAAATGACAAAGGTCATTTTGTAGCCGTAACAGACTGTTGGGGCAAGTGCATACATTACATATGTATATGTGTACGTACGTAAACTATATATACACACACATATATATAATAAATAACACGTAACTATAATAAAAAAAAAACACGAGATACGTTAAGTACGCGAGTTATCCTCCTTCGCATACGATGACCACGTAAAACAATATATATTTATATAAGTATTATTTTCACACATCCCCGTCAGCTCCAATGCTTTCTGGGGGGGAGCATTTTGTACCGGCAGAATCGCATTGCTCCAAATGCAGGCATCGCTTCGATGTCTCATCATCGGCAGTGTCAGGCCTCGCGTGAATCAATGAATTGCTGATGAACTGGAAGATGTTTCTAGACATGGAGCCTCTCTGTGAGACATGGGTTCCCAGTTCTACACCACGCAACTCTGTAACGCACAACACAGACTCATCAGCATTGTTGTGCGGCTGATGAGATGCACGCCCAGGAGGAGCCGCGTGTCGCTGATGTGATGTGTAAGATAATATGTATATAAAAACATATATGTATCCACTTCAGTTTGTATTAGTTTTGCGCGGAGGTATATATATGGGGGAGGAAGCGAATTTGTTGTATTTTAGTATGTATTTGTTTGTGTCAATAATGTAACGCGTTATAATATGAAAAATCATAGACACACCTGCTGACACTATTGAGGCATGAGCAGCAGTAGCAGCGGGGTCCGTGTAAAACTTCTCATTCACGACTGCATAGTCCATCATCAGCACTTGCCCCAACAGTCTGTTACAGGCTGTACGGGGAGGTCGTCTCTGTATGCTGCACTCATGTGTTGGCGAAGTGGGTCACTCCACTGCTGGATGAATGCCTCCTCCCCCCCCCCTCTCCCTTCCGTGTCTCCGTCTCCCTGGTGGTGGACGTCCTCCCGGGATGCCGCGTCCCCTCCCTCGGCTGCCGCTCCGTGCTGAGTCTCGACCATCGGCCACCGCCGTCCCCCCTTCTGGCCATGACGCCTCCTGCCCAAGCCCCACCACTCACTTCGCTTCACGGTCTGCACGATGCCTCCGCTACCCCGCGTGTGTGTCCTCTCGTCCACGTGCTCCCCTCTCTCTCTCTGTGTAACCATCATCACCACCACGGTCTATCTACTGCTGGATGGAGATCGATGTGGGGGTGATGATGATGATGTCTCTACCCCGCGTGTGTGTGTACTCTCGTCCGCATACTCCTCTCTCTCTCTCTGTCTCCCGGTGTAACTTATATATCGTGCGTCTCTCTCCACGCATGTGTCATCACCACCATGGCCTATCCACTGCTGGATGAAAATCAATACTATTTGCTCGCCCCGCGTCTGTGTGTCCTGAAATCCGCGTGCTCCTCTCTCTCTCTCTCTGGGTGTAATCACTCCAAGCGTTGTCTGTTTGTATGTATGTTGAACTTCTTTCGCACCGTACGCAGCCATACTCCCCGCAGTTTGTTTAACACGCAGGCTTTTGCGACCAACATTATCCATAACTAAGGTGAGATCGCGTAACAATTGTAACTGTGTCGTTAACCCGCCACCACCCGACGCGGCCAATTCGTGAGGTTTGTCGCGTAAACAAAACGTGCAAATTAGTTACTAGGTTAGCACTAAACCGGTTGTGTGCTGGAGAGTCAAACTCACCAACTTAATCAACCGATGAAGTTTGGTTGTTGTTGCTGCTGTTGTCGTTGTGGTTGTTGTTGTGTGTGTTGTTGTTGCTGTTGTGGTTGTTGTTGTGGTTGTTGTTGCTGTTGTTGTCGTTGTGGTTGTTGTGTTGGTTGTGGTTGTTGTAACCGTCAGCGAAACGCCACGGTACTTACGGTAAACATCGTAGTGGGTTTACTCTCTAACACGCAACAGGCATGCTGCTACTGCTGCTGCTGCAGTAACGAATTGGCACGTTTCGTTTACGTGACAACTCCTTACTAATTGGCTGCGGCGGCGGCGGTGGTGGTGGTGGCGGTGGTGCTGGGTTATCGACACGTTTAATATCACGCGATCTCACACAGACAAACAAAACAAACGAAAAAACGTATTACGAATCTCCGCATTGTGCTCCGGATCTGTACATACATACAGATTCATAGTCAAAGTCGCGCGCGTCTGGCGCGGTGAGCCACGTGCTTCAGATCGAAGCAGTCGCCTTAGAGGGCGTCGTGCGCCACTCAAACTACTGCCTTGACGCACGCTGCTGGATCAGTGATGGCGATGGCGATGATGTTGTCGATGTTGCGTGCGATGCCGCAAGTGATGGCGGTGATGAAGTCATAACCGGTCAGCCCCTTATCAGTGCCCTCCCTTATCACAGACCAAATTCAGACACGCATTGGTCACCCACCCGTGCCCCCCGTATAAATCTCAACGTTCATCCTACAAAGTCCCATCACAAGGGAGACACACAGACAAATAGACGTAGAAAAAAAATGTGTTTTGCCCGTATTGAAACGTCTCTACGCCGTATGGACCTGCAAACTCGATTTCCCTGTACAGGAATACGGGGTAAGCCTTGTGGGTTGACAGGTGTGTGATGTCAGTGATGAGAATGGCGATGTTGCATAGCGATTGTGTCCGCGATGGTGATAATAATGGTGTGGGCGATTATGTCAATGATGATGATGATGAAGAGGCGAGTGATGGCGTCAGTGAATGTTGATGTCAGTGATGGTGATGATGTTAGTGATGATGTTGATGAAAATGTCGAGAGTGATGATGATATTGTGATGATGATGTTAATGCAGTATATTATAATATACTGTACGGAGAATTATTATCCGTCTTCAAGGAGTTGGGTATAAATAAAATCATCATCACCACCATTAACCATGTTGTATTCACTGCTCTACCATCGCTCACCCAAGACAATACCTCAACACATTCCTCAACCAATGGTGTGTACACTAGGCGACGTTTCGGTCAAGGGCCTGACGCCGCTGCAGAGAAAAGATTGTACACCCCCGAAAACAACGGAACTTGGCCTCGTCATCCCCTAGCAACTCATTCCTCGGGACCCCTCGCCTCTCAACGTCATCAACAACATCATCATCACCATCAACAACATCATCATCAACATCATCATCAACAACATCATCATCAACAACATCATCAACAACATCATCATCAACAACATCATCATCATCATCATCCGTGGTCTATCCACTACTGCACCACCATCGACCATACCCCGAACAACTCAACCCATTCGTTTAAAGCACTCGCAGGACAGATTATACATACGTGCGACGTTTCGGGTACTGACCCTCCTTCATAGAAGAGTCGCGCGAACCCCCTGATGTCACGACGTCCCACCTCGCCTCTCATCAGCGTCATCATCGACCATGGTTCATCCACTGCTGCACCATCGATCGCTCCTCTCCGATTCACCGAACCAATACAGACCAATTCCGTGACCACCACCACCACCACCCACAACAAACCTCACGACCACCCCAACCCCCCACTCGCACCCCGCTCCACGCTCCTTCACCTGTGCGAGTCCGCTGGTGGATGTTGAGGTTCTCGGAGCGAGCGAAGACCGCCCACTCACTCACTCACTCACCCACCCACCCACTCACTCACTCACCCACTCACTCACCTACTCACCTGCCCGCTCACCAACTCACCCACCCACTCGTTCGCACACTCACCCACTCACTCGTTCACCGCACACTCATCCACTCGTTTACTCACCCACTAGTTCACCCAATCACACACGCACCCACTCACTCACCCACCCAACCACTCACTCACCCACCCACCCACCCATTCACTCTCCCACCCACCCACTCACCCACTCACTCACCCAACCACTCACTTACCCACTCACCCACTAACCCACTCACGCACCCACTCACCGACCCACCGATTCACCCACCCACTCACCGTCTCTCCCACTCAATCACTCACCCACCCAGCCACCCACTCACCCACTCACCCACCAAGCCACCCACTCACCCAGCCACCCACTCACCCACTCAGCCACCCACTCACCCACCCAGCTATCCACCCACCCAGTTACCCACCCACCCACTCACTCACCCACCCAACCACTCACTCACTCGTTCACCTACTCGTTCACTCACCCACTCACCCACCCACTCGTTCACTCACCCACCCACCGACCCACTCGTTCACTCAGCCACCCACCCGTCTCTCACCTGTGTGCGTCCTCTTGTGTATCTTGAGGTTCTCGGAGCGAGCGAACACCTTGCCGCATGCGGCGAAGGGGCACGGGAAGGGCTTCTCGCCCGTGTGCACCCTGATGTGGTTCACCAGCTTGTACTTGGCCTTGAAGGGCTTCCCCTCGCGGGGACACTCGTCCCAGCGGCACACGTGGTGGGCCTGCTCGGGCCCCCCCACGTGCTCCACGCTCACGTGCGCCACCAGCTCGTGCATGGTGCCGAACGTCTTGGCGCACGGCGTGCCGACGACGACTCCGACGAGGCCGAGACCGAGACCCGGTGGTCCGTAGCGGTCGGCCTCGAGCCACCGGCACACCAGCTCCTGCTTGATGGGCTGGTGGCGCAGATAGCGCAGGAACGCGCCGGATCCCAGGCTCACCGCGCCACCGCCGCCACCGCCACCACCGCCGCCACCGACACCGTACGGATCGGACCGCATCACCTGGCAGAAGGCGTCTGGCAGCGCGTGGAGGCCCGGGTAGAGGGAGTGCTGCTGAGCACCGTGGGTCGGGTCCGTGAAGCTACCGCCAGCATGGTAGAGGGATGGTGACGTGGGCGATGCGGTTGACTGTGGTATGAACATGCCGGCAGTGTGGTGGTGGTGGTGGTGGTGGTGAGGGAGGTGATGGTGAGGGTGGTGGTGGTGGTGGTGGTGAGGATGATGATGGTGAGGGTGGTGGTGCAGGTGGTGGTGGTGGTGGTGGTGATCCGGCAGTCCGCTCGGCATCGTCGCTCGCGGAATCAGCAACTCCGTGTTGAGTTCAGTCGCGTAGCCAGGTTGAACGAAGTTGAACGCAACAACGTCGCCACCTCCTCCTCCTCCACCTCCTCCACCTCCTCTGCGCGTTCCGTCTCCTCCCGTTCCCGGCCCACCACCTCCAGAACAACGTCCGCCGCCGCTGGCGCAGGAGACGACGGGAGCAGGCGTGGCGCGTTCCACGTGGAAGAGATGATGATGATGTTGTTGTTGTTGCAGCAGGTGGTGGTGGTGAGGCTGCTGCTGCTGCTGCTGTTGTCGGTGGTGACGGTACTGGTGGTGGTGGTGGTGGTGGAGCGCCGAGCCTGCCTCTAGTTTCAAAATCTGCGCTTCGTAGCGACCCAACCCTGGGGTGTATCCGCGCTCGCCAGCCGCGCGGAGGCTCCCCGCGGCGAGCGATGGGGGCGAGGCGCGCCCCGGGAGATCGGACAGCATGGGCTGCTGCTGTGGCTGCTGTGGCTGCTGATGATGATGATGATGCTGATGATGCTCGTGGTGGTGGTGGTGGTGGTGGGGGTAGGGGTGGGGGTAGGGGTGGGAGCGCTCGGGGGCGGGGGGGAGGGACGGGGGGAGACAGGGAGAAGCCGTCCCCGTGAAATCGAAGAGTCGGAGTTGTGGGCGCGAGAGAGTCTCGGGCACTAGCATGCTTGCCCCTGTCGGCGTGGGAGCGGCGTCGGCGGTGATGTCGGGAGGAGAGATCGTTAGGCGAGAAGGGCGAGGTGGAGGGGGGGGGGCAGGGGGAAGAGGATGGGGCAGAGAGTGAGATGAGGTGGTGACGTCAAGAGAAGCGAGGCTGACTGACTTACACCACGCAGTAGAGAGCACTGCTCACTCAGCAAGACGCAGGCTGACACACTCACTCAGTCGCTGACTGACACACTCACTCACACAGTCACTGACTGACACACTCACTCACGCAATCGCTGACTGACACACTCACGCAGTCACTGACTGACACACTCACTCACGCAGTCGCTGACTGACACACTCACACAGTCGCTGACTGACACACTCACTCACTCAGTCGCTGACTGACACACTCACGCAGTCGCTGACTGACACACTCACTCACACAGTCACTGACTGACACACTCACGCAGTCGCTGACTGACACACTCACGCAGTCACTGACTGACACACTCACTCACGCAGTCGCTGACTGACACACTCACACAGTCGCTGACTGACACACTCACTCACTCAGTCGCTGACTGACACACTCACGCAGTCGCTGACTGACACACTCACTCACACAGTCGCTGACTGACACACTCACTCACTCGGCAAGACGCTGACTGACACACTCACGCAGTCACTGACTGACACACTCACTCACTCAGTCGCTGACTGACACACTCACACAGTCACTGACTGACACACTCACTCACTCAGTCGCTGACTGACACACTCACACAGTCGCTGACTGACACACTCACTCACTCAGTCGCTGACTGACACACTCACGCAGTCGCTGACTGACACACTCACTCACACAGTCGCTGACTGACACACTCACTTACTCGGCAAGACGCTGACTGACACACTCACGCAGTCACTGACTGACACACTCACTCACTCAGTCGCTGACTGACACACTCACACAGTCACTGACTGACACACTCACTCACACAGTCGCTGACTGACGCACTCACGCAGTCTCTGACTGACACACTAACAGAGTCGCTGACTGACACACTCACTCACGCAGTCGCTGACTGACACACTCACGCAGTCGCTTACTGACACACTCACTCACACAATCACTGACTGACTCACTCACTCACTCGCACAATCGCTGACTGACACACTCACACAGTCGCTGACTGACACACTCACTCACACAATCACTGACTGACTCACTCACTCACTCGCGCAGTCGCTGACTGACACACTCACACACACAATCACTGGCTGACTCACTCACTCGCACAATCGCTGACTGACACACTCACGCACGCAATCGCTGACTGACACACTCATTCACATAATCACTGACGAACTAACTAACTCACTCACACAATCACTGACTAACACTCTCACTCACGCAGTCGCTGACTGACACACTCACACAGTCGCTGACTGACACACTCACTCACACAATCACTGACGAACTAACTAACTCACTCACGCAATCGCTGACTGACTCACTCACTCACAAAATCGCTGACTGACAAACTAACTCACACAATTGCTGACTGACACACTCACTCACACAACCACTGACAAACTCACTCACTCACAAAATCACTGAAACACTCACTCACTCACACAATCACTGACACACTCACTCACTCACACAATCACTGACACACTCACTCACACAGTCACTGACTGACACACTCACTCACTCTCTCACACAATCTCTGACTGACACACTCACTCACTCACACAACTGACACACTTACTCACAAAATCACTGACTGACACAACTCACGCACGCAATCGCTGACTGACTCACTCACACAATCACTGACTGACTCACTCACACAATCACAGACTGACACACTCACTCACTCAACAATCACTGACTGACACAATCACTCACTCTCTCACACAATCTCTGACTGATACACTCACTCACTCACACAATCACTGACTGACACACTTATTCACTCACACAATCACTGACACACTCACTGACTGACACACTTACTCACACAATCACTGACTGACACAACTCACGCACGCAATCGCTGACTGACACACTCACACACTCACTGACTGACACACTCACTCACTCAACAATCACTGACTGACACACTCACTCACTCTCTCACACAATCGCTGACTGACACACTCACTCACGCACGCAATCGCTGACTGACACACTCATTCAGTCACACAACCACTGACACACTCACTCACTCACACAATCACTGACTGACACACTCACTCACTCACGCAAAAATTGACTGACACACTCACTCACACAATCACTAACTGACACATTCACTCACACAACCACTGACTAACTAACTAACTCACACAATCACTGACAGACACTCTCACTCACTCACACAATCACTGACTCACTCACTCACACAATCACTGACACACTCACTCACATAATCACTGACTGACTCACTCACACAATCAATGATTGACACACTTACTCACTCACACAATCACTGACTGACTCACTCACTTACACAATCACTGACTGTCACTCACTCACTCAGTCACACAACCACTGACACACTCACTCACTCACCCAATCATTGACTGGCACACTCACTCACGCAATAATTGACTGACACACTCACTCACACAATCACTAACTGACACATTCACTCACACAACCACTGACTAACTAACTAACTCACTCACACAATCACTGACTGAAACTCTCACTCACTCACACAATCACTGCCTCACTCACTCACACAATCACTGAATAACTCACTCACTTACACAATCACTGACTGACACTCACTCACACAATCACTGACTGACACACTCACTCACTCACACAATCACTGACTGACTCACTCACACAATCACTGACTTACACTCTCACTCACTCACACAATCGCTGACTGACACACTCAGTCACACAATCACTGACTGACACTCTCATTCACTCACACAATCGCTGACTGACACACTCACTCACACAATCACTGACTGACACTCTCACTCACTCACTCACACAATCACTGACTGACACACTTACTCACACAATCACTGACACAATCACCCACTCACACAATCACTGACACACTCACTCACTTACACAATCACTGACACACTCACTCACACAAACACTGACTGACACACTCACTCACACAATCACTGACTGACACACTTACTCACACAATCACTGAAACACTCACTCACACAATCGCTGACTGACACACTCACTCACTCACACAATCGCTGCCTGACACACTCACTCACACAATTACTGACTGACACTCTCACTCACTCACACAATCACTGACTGACACACTTACTCACACAATCACTGACACACTCACTCACTCACTCAAACAATCACTGACACACTCACTCACTTACTCACACAATCACTGACACACTCACTCACACAATCACTGACTGACACACTCACTCACACAATCACTGACTCACTCACTCACACAATCACTGACTGACGCACTGACTCAGTCACACAACCACTGACACACTCACTCACTCACACGATCACTGACTGACACACTTACTCACACAACCACTGACTGACACACTCACTCACACAATCACTGACTGACACACTCACTCACACAATCACTGACTGACACACTCACTCACTCACACAATCACTCACTGACACACTCACTCACACAATCACTGACTTACACACTTACTCACACAATCACTGACACACTCACTCACTTACTCACACAATCACTGACACACTCACTCACACATTCACTGATTGACTCACTTACTCACACAATCACTGACACACTCACTCACACAATCACTGACACACTCACTCACTCACACAATCACTGACTGACACACTCATTCACTCACACAATCACTGACTGACACTCTCACTCACTCACTAACACAATCACTGACTGACTCACGCACTCACACAATCACTGACTAACACACTCACTTACACAATCACTGACACACTAACTCACACAATCACTGACTGACACACTCACTCACACAACCACTGACTGACTCACTCACACAATTACTAACACACTCACTCACTCAACAATCACTGACTTTCTCACTCACACAATCACTGACTGACACACTCACACAATCACTGACACACTCACTCACTCACACAATCACTGACTCACTCACTCACACAATCACTGACTGACTGACTGACTCAATCACTCACACAATCACTGACTGACGCTCTAACTCACTCACACAATCACTGACTGACACCCTCACTCACACAATCACTGACCGACTGACTCACTCACACAATCACTGACACACTCACTCACACAATCACTCACCAACTGACTCACTCACACAATCACTGACTGTCTCACTCACTCACACAATCACTGACTGACTCACTCACTCACACAATCACTGACTCACTCACTCACTCACACAATCACTGACGGACACACTCACTCACACAATCACTGAATGACTGACTCACTCCCTCACTCACACAATCACTGACACACTCACTCACTCACACAATCACTGACTGACACACTCACTCAGTCACACAACCACTGACATGCTCACTCACTCACACAATCACTGACTGACTCACTCACTCACACAATCACTGACTGACACTCACTCACTCAAACCATCACTTACTGACACACTCACTCACTTACACAATCACTGACTGACACTCATTCACACAATCACTGACTGACACACTCACTGACTAACACACTCACTCACACAATCACTGACTGACTCACTGACTCACTCACTCACTCACACAATCACAGACTGACTCACTCACACAATCACTGACTGACTCATTCACACAATCACTGACTGACACTCTCACTCACTCACACAATCACTG